TTAATTTTACCACTGTTTTTGACTGACGAAAAGTGCGTGACTCCGTGTTCAGGGCATATTAACGATTAGCGACATCAGGAAAAAACAACAGTTGAATACTATCTTTTGTTTCTTAGTTGTTGCATGAGTCGAGGTCAGATAGTTTTCTAGGACTTAGTTCTGACGTTTGGAACTGGCTGTTGTTGCTGTGGTTACGGCAGTGCTGCTGCTGCATTGTGAGGAAACCTCGTAATGGTACGATTTCATGTTACGTTTTTACTGCTGCTGCTGTTGTTAATGCTGCTGTTGCTGTTGCTGCTACTGTTGTTAATGCTACTGTTGTTAATGCTGCTGTTGCTGTTGCTGCTACTGTTGTTAATGCTGCTCTTGCTGTTGCTGCTACTGTTGTTAATGCTGCTGTTGCTGTTGCTGCTACTGTTGTTAATGCTGCTGCTACTGCTGCTGTTGCTGCTTTTACTGCTGGTGCTCTGCTACTGTTGTTAATGCTGCTGCTACTGCTGCTGTTGCTGCTTTTACTGCTGGTGCTCTGCTACTGTTGTTAATGCTGCTGCTGCTGCTGCTGATGATGATAATGATTTTGATGGTAGTGGGTGGTGGTTGTTATGATGATGATGATGATGATGATGATGATGATGATGATGATGATGATGATGATACACGACAACCACAACAACAACGACGACGCTTAACAATAACACAAGTACCCGGCAAGCCTCCATTCTGTCTCCCCTGTGGGAAGGCTGGGGCGCCCACCGCTGTGCTAAAGCTTCCAGCCTCCGTGGACAGCGCGCCGGACACACCAACGGACGCACTGGCGGACACACTATTGGAGAACTCGCGAGACCTCAGGCTGCCCACATCCTCGTCGATGGTGTCAGGGATGCGCACGGCGAAAGAACCATAGAGTTTCTGGTTCAAATTCTCTGTAAAGCTGGTTTCCCCCTTCGGCAACAGCTTTTCTTTGTCCTGCGCAAACATCACGTAGCGTGCAAGCAGAGTTTTACGGCAAAATATAGGAATCTAGAGGGCGCGGAAGGGATTTCTTAAGGAAAAATAAGTTTTAGGGGCAATTTTATATTGGAAAAATCATAGCACTGGTAGAAAAGTTCGATAAAACGAAGCTGATTTTAATTCTTGACTTTTTGTTGTAGCAAGTTAAGAATTCATGACACATGTATTAAAAAGAAAAAAGACTTCAGATCTTCCTAAAAACTGACACAGAAAAGTGTGAATAGACAGGTATATTGGTACACAGGTATATTGGTACACAGGTATATTGGTACACAGGTATATTGGTACACATGTAAAACATCCAATGAACAAGGGGCTTGAACAAAAACATAACGTAAGGACAAGACCCAGTCACATAGTGCCATTCAGTTTGACCGTTTTGAAAAGCTTTCAAAGACTAGTTCAGTTAAAAATATCCGTAACATAGCAACAACACAACAACAACACAACCAGAGCAAAGTCAACAACACATTAGCAAAGAAAACAAAACAAAAGCAAAAACAAATCACTCGAGAATGAAGAAATGGGAAGTAGCAACCGTCAAGTCATAAAAGATCAAGGGGAAGACCTCGTGGAACCTGGAGAAGAGTCACGGACATGGATGTACAGAAAAGTGGGAAGACGTGGAGTGACATCAAGGGACTAGCCCAGGATAGGGAAAGGTGGA